AGTCAGAATCAATATAGATGTTTTTTATTTTAAAGAAAATTCAGATTGAACATGGTAAAAAACTGTAAATTATAGTGTATCTAAAAGATATATTTTGTACTTATAGTGAAAACAAACCTTAGATGATGGGTTAGTAGACTACAAGCTTTAGGAATCCAAACTACAACATATAATAAGTGCCCTGTATCAAGATTGATGCAAAACAAGTGATATTTGACCTTTTTAGAGAGATTTAGAAAAAAACACTTCTGGGGTCATTTGGGTGCATTTTCTACATCTCTGGCCCCCCCTCGTTCGATTTTGATGATTGACACCTTTTTTCACAGTTGGAGCCAATAGAATCGAGGGGAAGTTCCTAAAATCCATCTAAACATTACCCAATGGTGAATAGAGTGATGCACAGCCAGAATGTCCCGGAACCAGAAGCTGTGATACTCTGGTGGCTACCATTAGCAGCTAATATGAAATCTTAGTTTGACAAAAAAATTGAATGATGGATTATCAGAAATAATTTCAAAGTGACAAAGACACATTGGATTAACCTTCAGCAGTGTTTTTACCGTTTTAATGCCATTGAACACGACTTTTGATCAGAATAACAGATACGTTGAGACGATCCCCCGTGAATGCTCCGTAATGCTCAGTGATGATACCAATACCTATATAATCTGTGGAATCTCATCTTTAATCCGATATCTTGTATGTGCAGTTACGGTAAGTAATAAGGGTATTTTTACCTTGAGTTCTGTGCTAAGTGCGACAGCATTTTTCCGCTCAGGGCTAATTTAGACGCTTCTTGTGAGACTTGTGTTTTGTTTCGGTAAAAATGATTCGTATCGTCAGTTAATGAAACATTAATAGGTTTATAAATATTAAGAAGCCCTGAGACACAGTGTCGTGAAAAAAGACCCCGCAGCCCCCTGTACAGGGGGGTCTCGGGCTAAACAGGTTAAAGGGAGTCACATTATGCAGTGTTCAGGTGGGGGAAAGCCTTAAGTGTGTCATGTATTGAACGTCGACGGGAGGTGGGCACTAGTGGAAGTTGTAGCACAATTCTGTTGTACACACCGACGTTAACACCAGCCCCGTCTGTGCGCACGGCGACCGGCTCTGTCTTCCAGTGATCGAAGCGCCTTCTGGAAATGCTTCACAAGTCCGCCGGTACGCAAATGGGCTTAGTGACACAAGTGACGGTACGCATTTCAGATGTTTGCCGCGCATGCGTACCAGATATGTGCACCCCTGGTTATAATAAACGTTTGTTAGTCAAGGAGCTCATTTTCTGCTATATTCCAATACAAATATTTGATTGGCTTTTTATCCCTGCACCAAAGAAAACGCAACAATCTGGGGCCTGGTGGCTGCACATAAGCATTACAGACATAATGTGATGCCAGGAAAGCGGACTCACCGATGCCAGGTATGATGTGTGGTGCATGAGCACAGCCTTGAGCCACCGCACCATTAGAACGGCCCTGTAGGAAGGAACACATTCATAAGCTGTCAAGTGGGGCCCAGAACTGCATGATTGTGTCTATCCACATGATGGGGCTCATTGTTTTTTATGGATAAGTTAAAAAGCAGCAGCACAAACAGCGAGGTTTGGATTGGTCAAACACTGTCAACTGAAACCAATTAAATGCTGACAGTTGATCTGTCAGGCGCCAACTTACGTGAAAGGGTGCCCTTGGAGCCTCTTTGTGAGCTACAGGAGAGGAGATACAGAGCCGATTATAAAAACTGCAGTGAATCATAGCAGAGAGTTAACAGCTCCACTTAAAAAATGGTGATGGGGACAGAAGATCTGGGCAGGTTAAGGCTGAAGACAGGATAAAAAAGCCTTGGCATGTGTCAAAAAGGAATGTGAAAGAAAATTAAACCTCACCTCCTCCACCAAGGGTAAAACAGCAGGGAGGGGTAACCGAGCAACCGTTTTCTTGATCACCATCTCTTTACGAGTCTGAAAAACTTTCTGTGGTAGAGGAAAGAAGATTTGACACATTTAAAGTAGAGGCTTGTGTTTGAACGGAGATGAGCTGAACATCCAGGAAATTGTAGAAGCTTGTACAAGTTTGAACTCTGAATACTAAACAATCAGCCTTGGTGTAAAAATATCTATTTTTGATCGAGTTAAACAAATTCCAAATTCAAATCATCTTAGCGTTGGTGGTACAGATGGTCTCTATAACCTTCTGAAAGGCAAATGAGGACAAATCTGAGGGGAAAAACAACATAAGGCATTCACTTTGGTATTTCCATTTCTCAAAACCCGTGTTTGACTTCAGACTCTTACATTTAGGATGCTGGCGTCGTTGCTCTCCAGGCCCTGCACCAGCAGCACTGCAAAGTTGTCTGTCTGTAGAGAGGCCGTCCCTTTAGGGGCCCCCTTCTCGCTGGGGATTGTAGACAGATCGATCTCACCGAGTCGCTCTACTATTGAAATCTGTAGGAGAACAGAGATGTATTAGATTAACAGGAATCTCAACACACGCTTAATGTATTGACTTTCCCAGGTTTAACACCAACAACACAATACTAGTTGAAAACATGGAGAAATAAAAATACTATAGCCGCGTTCACACCGGAGTACTTTTCCCACAATAGTTCACCAGAACTACTGAAGCCTCCTTTCCACATGAACTTCAACCTCTCTGTGAAGGTCAGGTTTAATGCAGTATGCTGCTTTTTTGTTCTGTAGACTCTGTGCTCTTTCATTCCAGTAAAACTCCTCAGAAACCATTAGAAACCAGTATTTGACCAATAAACAAAACAATTGACAAAACTTTGAACTATGAAATATGTTAAACTTTGGTGAGCTTCAGCGGGGTAATGCCNTCCCAAAAAGTTTTGTGAAGCCGCCATTTTATTATCCTCGCATTAGCATTATTAGCATTAGCCCAGCGCAGAAACGCAGAGAGACTAACTTATGGCAACACAAAAGAAAACATGGGAGCAGTGGAGATGAGGAGGTGTCGGCGTTCTGGCGATTTACTCGGAAGGCTTCAGTAGAAGCTGCTGGGACCAGTAAACCCAAAGCAGAAGAAGAAGAAGTGACGTCAGCGGCTTCATTTGCCTAATCCACCCCCAGGAACTAATTTCCGGTGTGAACGCGATCTGTACTCTGTTCATGAGAACTAAAGAGTTCTCATGAACTAAAGTGGGAAAAGTATTGCGGTGTGAACGCGCCATATGCTTAGGATGAATGAGTGAGTTGTTACTAAGTGGTAGTGCTTTGCGATCATGATTATCGATATGTTAAGGCTATGATGTATTTCTGGATATTTTCTCCTAAATATAACGGATTGATTTAACTCGTAATTGTGTTTAATTGTTCCAATATGATTTTTTTGTTCAAATAAGACAGGGTATATGCAGGAATCCTGAGGTCAAATTTAATACCTTTTAAGACCTTTTTTAAGACCCTTTCCATACATTTTAAGACCTCATCGCAAGTTTGAGTTCTAACCGGTTACATTGGCAAAACACTTTACCTCACATTTACTATATTGATTGTAAGATAGCAAAACTAAACAGAGTGCAGACAGACTACTGAAGCCTCCTTTCCACATGAACTTCAACCTCTCTGTGAAGGTCAGGTTTAATGCAGTATGCTGCTTTTTTGTTCTGTAGACTCTGTGCTCTTTCATTCCAGTAAAACTCCTCAGAAACCATTAGAAACCAGTATTTGACCAATAAACAAAACAATTGACAAAACTTTGAACTATGAAATATGTTAAACTTTGGTGAGCTTAAGCGGGGTAATGCCATAAAGGAGCTCCCTCACAAATACCCAGCGTTTAAATTGGGCTGGGGCTGTCCGGGGCTAAGCCCTGGCACATAGGACGATGCTCTGACGTCATCACCCTCACACATTTGTCATATGTTTACAAAAAACAACATGTTAAGACTTTTCTCGTTCTTAATATAGACTATATTAGGGTCGATATGTGTTGACTTTACTTTAAAATAGCAGATCTCTGTGACCGGATATAGTTTGGCTTAGACCCCGGCCCCACGTGAGTCTTCCGTTCACACGCATTCGATTCATTAATGTGTCCGTTCACACTAGACCGCTGGAAATGCTGGAAACGCTGTAGTACATATGCCAGGCCTGTAAGTGGCGCTGCTGCCGCCACAAAATACACCAAAAGCAGCGAAGAAGACCCCGGAGCATGGTTGCCCTTTTGTTTATTCTCCGCGGTGGACGGTGTGTTCTCCTGCTGTATTTCTCAGGTAGTCCACCAGCAGATGAAAAACACCCACCTCTCGGCCTCTTCCAAGGGACGAGGGAACCGTGCGGCAGAGTTTCCGTTAAAAAAATGTTTCCGCCGGTCAACATGTCTGTTAAAGTTTAAATCTTCCGTACAAAATTAGAAAAGTGCTGATCAGAGGTCTTCTTTGTTATTTATTGAGCTTTAAAACAAATTGATAACGACTCTGTTCTCTGTATAATAATATTTAATAAACGGTGCCTCCCTCTCTTTTCCTCCCCCTCTTCTGACAGCCCAGCAGCAGCAGGAGAAGTGGGGAGAGGGAGGCGGGCTATTTCATCGTTATCAGAAAATGATCATATATAGGGCTTACACACGGAGCCGTTGGACCCCCAGAACGTTGCGTATGCCGGTCTACCCACCTTGGACCCCCCCACAGAGTGGAGCAAGGCAACGAAACTTAAAATAAGAAGCAGCATTTTACGGCGCGCTATGCATGGGGCCGCCTTGAGGGGGATTCCCGACATGCAGGGCTCTCGACTAACTTTTTTCACCATCCTCCCGGAACCGTCCCGAAATACAATCTAAGCCGTCCCGAAATTAATGTGGACCGTCCCGAAATTTAAAATATTAGTTTTTCTACATTATCATTAGCTAGAATCACTCAAAATGAGCTTTAACATAAATAAAACATCATAAAAATCATTAGATGATAATTCATCAACCTTTTATTTGAGTAAATCAGTCAATCACATAAACAAAGGCCAAATATATTCAAACAAACACACAAACGAGAAAATTACTCTAATATTGAATCCAATCAAGTCCCATCCAATTAACAAAAAAATCCAACACTCTGTCCTGAAGACAGAACCCAGAGTAACCACTAACCAGGATGACAGTCTGTAACACAGTCATTCACCTTTACAAACTGCCCCGCCCCCTCGCACACAGACGGGAGAGAGA